CCATGTCCGCGGGATGACATCGAGCATTTCGGACTGGAAGAAGTTTTTTGGCCAATGCTTCGCGTAAGCGTCCCACCTCCAGATAGCGTCGATTTGGCTAAACAGAGACACCAGGAACCTCGAGCCCGGTGGGTATCTTGAGCTTCAAGAAGGTCACATGCGACCTGAGTGTGACGATGGAACTCTCACACGTGAGCATGCTATTTCAAGGTGGGTGGATTACTTGGAGCAAGCAAGCGCCAAATTCAATCGCCCTTTCGTAGACTGCCCTAGTCTGGTGAAAGTCGTTGAAGAAGCAGGCTTCGTTGACGTGAAGTTGACGAAATTCAAATGGCCTCTTAATCCCTGGGCTAAAGACAATCATTATAAGCTCCTCGGCGAATGGACTGAGGAGAACTTCATGGAGGGTATCGAGGCTTGGACCCTTGCTCCATTGACCAGGGCTCTGGAATGGACGAGAGAAGAAGTCTTGGTCTTCCTGACCCAGGTGCGGAAAGAACTGAGGGACAGAAGCATACATGCATACCTCCCCATGTGAGTCGGAACCTCCCGTCTTCATGTTTGACAGCAAAACTGACAGTGCCAGTTTCGTGATTCATGGAAGAAAGCCTCTCCAGGCAGGCGGCGAAGGGGAGCAGTGACGAAGAGAGGCACGGAGGAAGACAAATAGTGAGGTTCAACATGAGAACGATAGCCAGAAAGGACTCAATCGCATGTTCTTAGATAGACTGTTTTTGTTCTCCATCTAACAAGTCCTGGAGATCATTTCATCGGCGATGGATAACACAATTTATGTATCTTATGCAGCGCGACTTGTGCACGATTCGCAACCTCGGTGCAAGTTGAAGTGCGAGCAGAAAGCACGGATAATTTTAAGCTCAGCTTGCCCCATATGACAGACCCACATAAGGTACCCACCTCAAGCAGCCAACCAAATCGAAGCAAAACAACCAAAACAGCCCCTCTCTTCTGTATTCCCGCGCAAGCGGCAAGCGGCAAGGCGGGAACGTCGTCAGAGAGCGTCAGTCAATCAATCATTCCGACCCAACCCCATCCCCAAACCGAGACCTTTCACTCGTGCCGTGCCTTACTTTCCCTCGACACCCAAGTGGTCAGGTCCCAAGCCAAGGTCAGATCAGGTTCAACAAAGGGTCGCACCAGAACCCCCTCCATCAGCGACCAACCGACGACTACCATCCAGCAAGCCGTCAGATTTCGATTTCTGCGGCGACACTTTGACTCTTGCATCCTCATCATCATCGCACTTCTCTCCAACCTCCCCTCGTTCTTCCCCGAGCCTTCACCCCCCGCCACCATGACTTCTAAAGGAGTCTCGCTCCTGAAGTTCGTGGGAACTGTTTCCCTCGGTCTTCTGACTGTACGTCGCTGCCCCTGCTCTCTCTCTCCTCCCCCGCTCGAACGCACCGACCCGGCCTGTCGTCGGATCACCAGTGACGCCACTATTCCCATCCCCTCCACCTCCCCGCACTCGCATCCTGAACCCCGGCACAACTCGACAATGCCCCTTGCCCATGGCCTTCCATTCACGACCCAAACATCGCATCGCATCGAAAAGCTGACTTTTATATTCAACAGGGCCTCTCCTACTCCCTTTCGACTGTGACCGTCCCCTCGATCCTCTCCCTCCCCTCCGCATCCGACGCCCTCCGAGCCTTCCAGAACCTCTACCCCAGCGCGAACACCCGTTTGCGCATTCTCACCGGAGTTTCCACCGCCTCGTTTCTCTTCGCCTTCTTCCTCTCCCCGCGCGCCTTCCGTCACCCCTACCTCGTCTACGCTTCCGTCCTCTGCCTCGCCTCCGGTGCCGCCGAGCAAATCACACCCTATGTCCTGAGCTCTCCCGAGTCCTCCTCGGAGGCCATCGCCGCTCGTCGCCAGGCCCGCCGTGAACGCGAGGACGCCCGCAAGGCCGCTCGCATTGCGCGCCAGGAGGCCCGTATGGAGGCTAGCTACGAGGTCCTTGGCGACACCCACAGCGACGCCGCGAGCGACGGCGAAGCTGCCGCCGCCGCCGCTTTTGCTGAGGAGGAGGAGAACTTCAACGGTGAGGAGATCCGCGTCGTGGTTGATGGCTTCAGGAAGACCCAAATTGTGCAGACAGCCATCGCCTCGGTCGGTTTCCTGATGTCCGTCATCGGTATCTGGGGCGACGGCGCCATCCAGGTCTTCCAGACCGAGACCGTTATTGTCGGTGTATAAGAGGCGTTGATGACCTGCGAAGAGATATGATTATTGCAAGATTGTTTGCGTATAGGAGTCATGATATTGAGGGGGGCTGGGAACACGATGCTACATCACTACCACTGTCTACGAGGCACTGTCGAACTCGTTATATATTCTTCCTTATTTACCCCGACTAATTAGAGTCGGATAACTGGCAAAAATAGACCACCGAAGCTATACCGGGTTTAAAACTCATCGTTACAATGCTCACCTAGGTCAGATGACAAATCGATGCTGATGCACGGCATGATTGATTTATTCATTACGCTGTATTGGGATAAGTAAACCGAGGCTAGGTACGTGATACTAATCCTACTACGCTGGCCTGAGTTTGCGACGCATTCACTGTCCAAAGGTGTCGAGACTTTCGAGCCTGACAACTTCCTAAGACTTGAGTCTCTCGCTCCCGGCCATGTCATCCTGCGCATCCTTGATCAAAAACCTGCAAGGTCGTTAACACAGTGCCCTGGATCAGGTCGATGAGGCCAAACTTACCTGTACATCAGTATCGTTGGCGGGATGGTGCCCAGATGCCAAAGACTATGCGCATCAAGAGCGCCAAGTAAAGGCGGAAAGTCGAATAACTCGAGACTCATGACAGTAACGATGATGGCGACGACGATACTCGGCCAGATAGCCCACACCCTGCGCGTTTGCCTATACTTATTATAACTGAACCACAGCCACATTAGGTTCTGGATCACTCCGACGACAACGTTTGCCGCCATGTTGTAGGTATAATCCCAGCGCACACCCTTCAGGTACGCAACGTGCCCCGCATACAGCAAGACGCACAGCAGAGTCCACGCCCTCAGAACGGACCGTCTCCGCGGCGTCGGGCGGTCTAGACGCATGACGCGCACCACGGTGTAGTACAACCCATAGAGCACGTTGGCGCCGGCGGCAAAATAGTCAAGCTGCTCCGTCGCAGCAAAGTCACGCGTGTGGAAAATGGCGCTGAAGGTCCAGGAAGCCACTCCGACGGCCGCGAGCCAGGTGTACCAGGGCATCAGCGGGTACGAGGCCGGGACGGCAGCGCGAAACTTGCGCAGGCCGTCATAGTGAGCCCAGAGGTTTCCCAAGCTGAATATCGTGCTGAAGGGCTCTTGGCATCCGAGGAATCGGTGGAAGGGCCACTTTCCGTGGAACTGGACGACGCGCTCTCCGGCGGCAACGCGCTTCTTGGTTATGATGTGCTGGCAGGTGTAGTCGCATTCGGAGGAGCATGTCCAGAGGAGGAGACGACGGTGGAGGGCTGCGAAAAGGGAAAGGTCGGTCAGCTTCATGCGTTTGGGCTTCCAAGGGGGTCAGCAAAGGGGGACGTAGGCGACGTACGGATCGGGGTAGCATCTTTGCCTGGAGCGCAGTTCTCATCGTGGCAGACCTGGATCGCGGGGAAACGAGGAAGAGAATGTCAGCCTATGGAGGTCGTAGACCATGCTTTGGGGGGGTCATCTCGCGCGCGGGTGTGGTGGCACCAACTTGGACGCATTCGCGGAACTCTGGCATGCGGTCGCCGTATGAGGCCTCAACGGTTGTCGCGAAGATGAGGAGGGCAGCGAAGACGGCTAGGAACAGAGGAGACCGTGATCGTCTCCCCGCTCGTGGAAACTTCATGGCGCGGGCATTTATCGGTTTGTCGTGTCTTTGCTGGTGTTGTTGTCGTCCTCGCAGTCAGTGTCGCGTGAAGGCGGGTGCGGGAGGGTCAAAGTCAGAGACTGCTGAGATGGTACAGGTTTCTTGGATTGCTACGGGACACAAGGGTTCGGAGGTCTCGGGCGCTTGCTGCCTTGCTTGTCACTGCTCTAATGGAGGACCGGTCATTTGCTGGCGGGGAATTTACATTTGTGATTGGCTTGGTTTTCTGGGGCATTCCAAGACGTGGGGTTCAGCTTAATTATCCGATCTCTTTTCCAGGGGCTCCCAGACTTACCCTCTCATCATTTGTTTTTTTTCCTTCTGGCGATGCATCGGGGATTGGGTGACTGCAGCTGATAGATCGCACCGGTTTTTGATAGGTACCTGAGTAGCTCCTTTTTCTGCGGATGGATGTAGAGGTTAACCCATCTGCCACTTCACCGTCCCAGTTGGGCTTGGGCCAGAAAGCTCCGGTCGTTGTGAAGTCCCTGCCATGATGCTTGGAATGCAGTCTAATATTGTCGAACCCCCCACCGCCTTTGGGCCCATTAAAGGTCAATGAGGGCGAGCAACAATTCGATGTTCCAAGCAGAAGCATGCTCCAATGTTGGGCTGCAAACAAGGATCACAGATGAACTGGTTCGCCATGCTCGGATCTGGATAGCCAAGACTTGGACGAGGAGTGTCGTTTTAGTGGTTTAAAAAAAAATACGCGAATCTTCTCTCTTGAATCTCTTCTCTGAAATATTTTGAGAGAGATCTTTTCCCAAAGCTATGCCCCTTGTAATAATCCTACGAAGCTGTATCCGTACAACAGAACGTCATGGCTTGCGGGTGGGACAGGAAGGGCAGTGAGCCGAAAAGAAAAACACGCGATGGCAAATCTGTGTTCACAACGGCAAAACAAAAGTAGTATATCGTCGGTATGGAGAGGTTGAAAACCCCTCTCGGGTATCATAACTTTTAATCCCTTTGAACAGCTCTAATGCTTCGGCTCATCGCCGTTGCCAAGGCACGCGCAGCATCAAGCAATCAATAATGACCGGAGCACTGCTTGCAGCCAACGGAATTTTTCTTTCCTTCATGCCCCAAACAACTGTTCGTCTATTCCCCCCTCTCTATTCCACTTCGGATTCGAACATGGACTTGAATGTAACCATTTGTTCATAATACTCTCGATCGAGGGGGCTGGTGGTTTGGGCGCTGAAGCCCTCTTGGTAGCGCATTAGAACACCATAAGCTCGGAGGAATGGGTGCTTGTAAGCATCAAAATTAATGACCACCGGCGTGAAGAGCTCAGGGAAAGTAGCGCAGTCCAGGAATGCCGGGTTGCGGTGGCACTTCTCCTGGATTTGAGAAGCCCTCACATGCTCCAGGTGGCGTACAACTTCCAGTTGAAGTTTGTTCGGTTTCGTGTCCGAGCTGAAATCTCCCGATAGCCATTCTTTGGCGAATTCATCAGCCTTACGCCTTCGGATATAGCTGATGAACTCCTGTTCGAATTCAGGCGACCATTTGCCCTCGCCTATGAATGCATGACGGCCCTCCCTCGTGGAGAAACGTCGATCAAACATCTTCAGGACAGCCCTTTTGGGGATATCCGGGGGTCCATTGGAAATATATACTTCCATGACGTTCCAAGTGTGTGATTGGAAGACTCGCTGGATGATCAACGTCATTGCCTGTGGGACTTGACGGTCGTCTTTCTCGAGCCTGTGGACATAGATGACGTTGCCGCGATAGTAAGGAGAACTGTGAATGTCAGCCGGATACGGTTGGTCGTAGATGTTTCTTGTCGCTTACTGGGAGTATGCTATTCGGATCCAGTCCACGACACTGTCGAAGGCATATCTAATTCTATGAAGTGTGCGCTGAATGGCTTCCAGGACGTGTTCGATTCCAGAGCGAAGAGATATGGCGATCTTGGGTCCGAAATAAGAACTCCAATTGTAATTTGTTGATACTTATAAGGAAAGTTTCTGTGCTGGGGTTTGAAGCACTGCTAATGGCGAATCGATGCATAAGAAGGTAGCATCGTTGATGAAGTGGGATGGAAAAAAGATCGTTGCCAGGAAGCGTGGATGTACCTTCAAAGTGGGTCCCGCATGTTGAGCCTACCCGATTTGGCAATCAGCTAAAGCTCCAGTGGGTACCTGCCTACAAGAAGGTGTGGCGCTAGCAACGGCCATGTACTGACTCCTTCCAACTGGTCGTCTCGGCGAGTACTGCTGTAAGTGGCTTCGGTGAATGCAAGGCTGCTGCATTCGAGGATACGAGTTGAAAGATGGCGGGCATAAGGGGGCGTTTTCGTAATGGTCGACCTTTCTTGTCACTTCCACTTACACAACCCTTAAAAATAGCGGGAGTGCGTCTCAGTTGCACAGCCATGAAAAGCATTTACACCTCGATGAAGGTTGATATGCTTCTAATAAACCAAATTTCTGGCTAGATAAACGAATGGAAATATGTTTCTCTTTCGATTCAAGGTACTGATTCAGTGTCTTTTCAATCTCTAGCCCGGCTTAAACCAGCCGCACAGATACCCGGCAACGCACGCCATCCCTTCCGCATAAGGTTTCATCACTCGAGACGGAAACTCTTTTGATCGGGGGCGAATTCACAACTTCTGCTAGAGCTATATCCAAATCTGCTTCAAAAAGAAGAAGCTCACAGACTCGGAGATTCAGATGAGACCCGTCCCAAGTATCCCGCTCGTCGGAGGCTGGCACGAGGGCCAACTAGGAGATATCAGATCGGTGGTTTGCCACGGACCGACCAAAAGCGCTTTTGTTTATGCACGTAGGGTCCTGGTACTGCTAACTAGGTAGAGAAGAAAGTCTCTCTCTCTGGCCAGTTCACTCCGGCACCTGAGCCCAGACGTCTGAGCGCCACATAGTAAATACAGCCACATCTGATACGAGCTATATGTAAATTCAAGTATATCCGTCCAGAAAACGTATCATGACAGCTTTCTGAAGTGTTTCTAGAACCAAAGCGATGATAAGGTTGTTATCGACATCTACCCTGAAGAATCGCAAGAAACATAGCTTGTTCATACTTTGAGGGGCCAGAGGCATCCATCAAGTCTCCCGAACCCCTCATCCTTGGAGGCCCTGGAAGATTCTCTCCGGCATCGAAGCTTCTTCTGTAGTGGCTGAGTCGGAAAGGCAGACTAGCATTGCGTACGACCTACAGATCTCCACTGCTCTCTATAAGTAGGACTTCATCCATCAGCATCACCAACGCAGCGCATCCAAGTGATCGTTCATGAATCATGACAAATGTTCTTTCAACTTGAAAGCTGAAAAGTCTGATTTGTTGTCAGGCTAAGAAAATCCCAATTCCTCCCAACGCCATGCCCTCAGACACATAATATATGCCCCGAATGTACCCCCAAAAACCCGTAGTATACACAAAGAAACTTTTTCGTCATCACCCCAGCCCTCACCACAAATACGGCGGCGGTATCGCCAGCATCCAGGTGTCAAGCCACCTCGACGCCGCGAATCCCGCAATGAACCCTCCTATCGCAATCGAAAACATGACGGCAGCCGTCAAGCTCGGGCTGACGTCGTGATCCAACCACGTCTTTCTGAACCTCAGCTTGCCCACCCTCATGTGGAACATCTCCTCCACGTCGACGATCCCGCGGTAATTTGGCTTCAGCTCGGTCGAGTCGCGCTCCGTAAAGTGTTTTCTCTGCACCCTTCATCGTCGTGTCAAAGGATCAGCCCTCGCTTTTAGCCCCGTCTGGTCAGTCTCTTCAGCACTGGGGGTTTTGGAGAAACAGGTGAAAGGCAAAAAAAAGGAACTTACAGCAACGTGAGGCAAATGTCACCTTGCAATCTCGCCTTCAGCTCGAGCTCGGCGTCAAGGTTCAGCCCGATTTGTAGCCGTGCGGGCTTGGACTCGGAGAGGCGCGGAATTACGGTGGGAGCAGGGAGTGTTCCCTTCGGCTGGGCGACTTGCTTGTTGCGGTTGCGGCGGCGGCGACGGCGGGTGCTACCGTCCGAGGAGACGCTTGAAGCGCCGCCAATACTGGACGCAGAGTCGTCTACTACATTCTGGGCCTGAGGAATATTTAGTTAGAAGGTTTTCTCTTGAGGGGTTCTACCCTCTCGGTGATATTGCTACCTTTGTGCTCGTCTTTGTGTCTATTGAGATGTTGCAGGGAGCCATTTTTTCTTCTTCGGAGTCCTTCTTCTGGGCGTGGGAGGGGATGTAGTATGGAATCATCGATCGTCTGTGGACAAAGTTGGGTTGCAAGACTTGTTGGTGGTCTTGCGTGTGGTTTCGATGTGCCTCGAGGGACTTTGATGCTGCAAGTCTTTTTCGGATATGATTTCAGGACAGAATTAAAGAGCAAGCGGTTTTCGAACTTCAAAAAACGTCTTCCCAGGGGTTGGGATGACAACTCTCCTATATACCCTTCCCCGATTCCCCGACTCGCCGCACCCGCAGAAACCACCACCACCACCACCACCACACCCTGGCAACTTCTGAAATCTGTTTCCGAAATCCAGTACTCCGTGAAATGCCCACCTCTGCAAATCATCCCAAAAAGTTTCCCAGACTCTTCCACTTACACGGACCCCTTCGAAGCCCCTTCGTTGCATCGTCACGTGATGGGTCGATGGTGGAGTAAAACGGATGGAAACCTCGTACGATGCCGTTCAACGCTGAAACGGTAATGCAACCTCGACGTCGCTCATCACCCAGCGTGCCAGACAAGGGGGAGCCAGCCTACAATGTTCTGGCCTCCCACGGCCCGTCTTTGCCAATGCGGATTCCTGTCGCCGGGTTCAGGGCATACTACCGGGGATTTCGCCATCCTTCAAAAGAGCCTCTCAGAACCCCCGGCAGTGGAAGATCAGGGTCCTCGTTACCGAACGTCGTTGTCGTCCAAGTAAAGAGGGTCAAACACTCGTCGATGACCCCTCGTATGTTTGACTTGTCGAGCACGCGTCTAGCAGCATCTTCCCGCTGGGCTCTTAGGAGATGGGCATATTTGGATTCGGGTTATCGATTGACCATTCATGTTATCGAATTCTCTTGATGTTCGCCTCGAGCTTTTCCACGCGACGATGAAAAACACACCAAAACTCCACATGTATGCGCCTCGCATGCTGAACCGCCACCTTTCGTCCCATCCCAACCCAACCCAAACAAACCCCCCTGCCGCCAAGGTATCTAGTTGGGAAATCTAATCATGTAGTACGAGAGCCCACGAGGTGTGTGTCTCGATGGAAGCAGCCATATTATAACCCATTGAGAGCCTCGCCGCCATGCTTTGACAAGCAGGATGAACCTTTCCGTCCTTCCGAAAGACCTAGACTTTCCCCGGCTTTTCAACCGATGCCAAACCCGGCACCATCCAAACCTCCACCAGCTTATGCAACGCTTCAGATTCAGTCCTGAAGCCCGGGGAAATGGGACATCGGATGTCCCAGTCCGCAGACTCAGAGACACCCACAACGGCCCAAAACGGAAAGACTTTTGTGTCGATCTTTGTTTTGTTCCTCTTGACCCGTATCCATTCTCAAGTGCTCAACAGGTCCCTCACTGACATGCCACGCCCAGCGCCGCGTGAATTCTTGGTGCCGTCACCGCTCACGGTACCTCTCCTGTCGTTGTTCAGCATCAACAGGGCGGCCGTCGCCTCCTGGTCGAGATCCCGCTGCGGCGCGAGCGCAGGGCTGGTAAGCGTCGAGAGCGAGCCCGAGGCGATGCCGTGGGGGTAGGGATACTGCTGCGGACCAAAGGCCGGGGACGTTGTCGCCGACGATGCGCTGTAGCTGTAGTGGCGTTGGTCCGTCGACGCAGACGAGTACGAATCGTGGCGGTGCCTCGAGTCCTGCGCGAGCAGCGCGGGGGACGGTGATACCGACGGCTGCTGGGACCGGGAGTGCTGGGCCGGGAAGGTGGGTGACGGGGCCTCGGAACCGGTCATTTCGACGTCGTCGGGTTCCTGTTGGTACTTCGGGACGAACTGCGGTAGGGAGCCCCACGGATCGCGGCCCGATGGGGTCTGCAGGCCGGACTCGGTGGGGGAGACCCCCTCGGACACGTCCCGCTGGGCCTTGAGCTTGGCGACGCAGTCTTCGAGGTACCTGACGTATTCGATAGAGGCCTGTGTTAAGCCTGGGTCAGCATCACGGTGTTGCCATGTTTATGTCGAGTTTACTGAACTCACTTGCAGAATAGCCAGCTTGTGCATCTCTCCGGTGCATGCCGGGATCATACCCTTCAGCACAGCAAACTCCTCGTTCATTTTAGACCGGCGGCGACGTTCAATCAAGCTGTGCGCTGTCTTCCTCGCAATCTTCCGCCCGGCCGCGCTCGTCGCCGACGGCTGCTTCTTCTTAGACTGCTCCTTCGTGGACGCAGCGGCTTTCGCCGGGCCTGATGACTTGGTGCTGGCGGGAGTCTCCTCCGGCTCCTCTTGCGGCCGGGGCTTCATCTGAATAATCTTGCGGGACCTCGTGGGCGGAGGGGGAAGGGCAAAGTTCTCGTTCGCGGCCTTCTGGGCGGCCGAAGACCTCCGCCGGGACTTGACTGCTTCAGCGGGCTGTACGGGGTACGGAGTGACCTTGGAGGGAGAGATGGGTTGGAAGCCGGATTGGGGGGATGTCCTCGTGTCGGAAGGCGAGACTCTCGAGGCGTCTTGCGTCAAGGCTGCCGGGGGCAATTCGAAAGCCAGCTGTAGCGAGGCCAGGTTCTTGGAGCCATCTTGGCCCTTTATGTCTGTTGAGGATGCCGGCGTGGGCGGCAGCGTGGGACGCGGCATTGTGAGATGGTGGAATGTGACGACGGGGGAATGGGGCGCGAGCGGCCTTGAGAGATAGACCAGACTCCCCGAAAGGTATTAGTAGAGTACGGCGAGCCGAGTGAGGAAACTCGACGCCCAGGCTGGACGACAAATCGGTTGACGTCGGTTGTGAGGCTGTGCCCGCGGAAATCGACGCCGGATGGTGAGGGACTCAGGTCGCTGTCGGCTGGTGAGGCTTGGCGTTGATGAGAAGCGCCCGTCGGGGTTTCTGGCCAAGTAGGAGTCAAAGTCCGATTCGTTGTGTACGGTCACAGGATGGGGCCGTGAGTGCAAAGGGGAAAGAGAGGCACGCGACGATGAGGAGTAGAGGGCATAGTTGAAGGGTTTGTGGAAAGAAAGTAGCAGAGGCGGGGGGAGAGGATGGTTAAAGATACGGCACGGGAGATGGGATTGAGCACGAGTTGCGCACACACGCACATTAGCAAGTAACTGACTCTCATTCTCACTATCCTTGGCACGTCGTTCCTCACCTCTTTCTGCTCTATCTACAACCCCGGACTGTGGCTAAATCTGTTAAGACGCTTGCCTCAGATAGCGGCCAACCTCTTAGCAGGCGCGTAGCAGGCCACGCCCCCCATCTCCTACATGGGGAGGGGGGTGGTCCATGTTTCTGGACGATACCCTGATGAAGGTCCATGGGGATGGGGATAGGGATAGGACGGCAGTGGTTGGTGGTTTTGGGGGCAACGAACTAGGAAGAAGGAGAGGGCACGCGACTCCAAGCCAGAAGTGCCAGAGAAAGGAACCCATAAACAATGGACGAAAAGAAAGTGAGGAACACAAGCACAGCCTGGCCGGTAGCAGCCCTGGAGAACCGCAAAGATGACGGGCAACAGAAAACAGTCCAATCAGAGGTTCGGACGCAGGCTCCTGGGCGAAGAAAAGGGCAGGAGAGGCATCTTCGAGAGTCGAGGAGGTTGACCAATCAAAGCGTCGGAATCGAGCACATGGGGTTCCTGAATGGTATCTGGGCGCCCGCAGACGGTTTGCTTCCTACTCAAGAGAAACGTCAATCAACACGGCCACACAGGCCACATGGATCATTGGCAGACCCCTTGCCCGCGCGCACGCCTTCGTTGTGTGGGCTTTTCAAGGTCCCAGTCCGGGGCTGGCCTCTAGTCTGATGCAGCGACCTGGGGTCCAGAGCCAGAGGCACGAGACATGTGCTCGAGATGCGGTTGGACGACGGCTTCGATCGTCGACGACCGTTGCTTGCTGAACCGTGTTCCATCTGTGGCTGGTAACAGTCGTGTGCGCATCTGCGTGCCTTCTTTTCCGGTCGTGTGTGGTGACAGAGCGACAGGACACGAGTGGTTTCTAACCTTTGATGGCGATTGAGCTGAATCGCATGCAGATGGCCATGGATGACGAACCCCCTCCCTTTGCGAGCTCAGGGCCCGCTTGCAAAGTGAGCACGTGGGCGGTTTGCTGCTGTAAATCTCCCCAACGTATCGTTATCTCGTGCGTGCGACGCACTTCTTTTCTGGCCCTGCTGAATCCGTGGACTCGTGGAGGCTGTTGATCTTGTTCGTCTCAAATGCTTGGACTTGAGGTCGTCTAAACCGAGGTCGGTTGAGCTTGTACTCAAGAGGCCGCCTGGCAAGCATCGATTATGAGCGAATTGATCGCGGTGACTTCGCTGCAGAGGCATATGGAAACGGGCTAGCTGAGCTGTCATGATCGGATTTCCTCTTTCTGAGTTCCCGTGCAGCAGCGCGCGTCTCCTCTCTCCGTCTCCTCAAAAATAGAGTTTGGTCCCGATTTTCTCTCCAAGTGGAAGCTCTGTTGCGACGTGCCTCCTCCCAAAGCCAGAACGTGGGCGACCTGTCTGTTCCCGATTTAGCCTAGCGCCCGAACCCTGGAAACGGGGGCAGCCATGGGCGGGGCTTTGCAGGGGGCCGGTTCGCGGGTGCCGTGGTGGCTCAAGCACGGCACGAAGCTTGTCGATGCCGATTCTCCTCCACTCACTCGGCCGCCACCTCCAACAGGCGCACGTGACGATTCACTGTTCACTGACGCAGACTTGGGTATGAGAATCGCCAAGTCTTGGCAGAAAATCACTCAGCTATGGCCGCTTCGCGAGTTGTCTCAACGGCCCGGACACCAAACTCGTCCATGCATCCAAAGAGATCCATATTCCTAACTAGACCCAAACAAAAAGCTGCCTCATTAACATCGTAGCAATGTCCCCAAGTCCCTCACACCTTGGTGATGAGGGTTTTCCAAAAATCCCATGTCGCCAAACAAAACCGATACAAGTTACAGCATTTCACAGCGTCGTCGTTGAGCCCCCTTACACCTCGTTGCTGGGGTAAGTGACCTTTGTCGTCGCCGCAAACTCCTCCTTAATACTCCTCAAGCTGACGAAACGGCTGAGCAGGTTCGAGCTGCCCGCCTTGTCGTTGGTGCCACTGGCTCTGCCACCGCCGAACGGCTGCTGACCAACGACCGCGCCGGTGCTCTTGCAGTTGATGTAGAAGTTACCCGCAGAGTTGCGCAACTTGTCCTCGGCAAACCTGATGACTGATCGGTCCGAGGCAAAGATGGATCCTGTCAAGCCGTACTCCCCAGTTGAGTCAACGAGATCGCAGGCCTCCGAAAACGCATTCTTGTTTGTGACGTCGTCATACACGTGCACTGTGAGTACAGGGCCGAAGAGCTCGGTGCTCAAAAGCTTGTGGTTCTTGTTGGTTGTCTCGTAGATGGTAGGATGGATGAAGAAGCCCTTCGACTTGTCATACTTGCCTCCCGCTACAAGGGTCAGCTCCTTATCATTCTTGGCTTCGTCAATCACTCCAGACAGCTTGTTGAACGACGCCTCGTGGATGACAGGTCCCATGAAGTTTCCGTGTTCGGCGGGGTTGCCAATGGTAATTTTGTTGACCTCGTTCACGAGACCCTCCTTGAACTTGGGCCAAACCGACTTGGGTACGTAAGCCCGCGACGTCGCACTGCACTTCTGACCCTGGAACTCGAAAGCACCACGGACCGTCTGCTTAACAGCGTTGTCGATATCGGCGGATGCGTGGATAAGGTGGAAGTTTTTGCCGCCCGTCTCGCCGACGATTCTTGGGTAAGATTGGTAGCGGCCTTCAGCCACACCAGACCCGATTTCACCGTACAGCTTGCGGAAGACGGCAGTGCTACCAGTGTAGTGAAGAGCAGCGAACTTCTTGTGCTTCAGCGCGACCTTAGTGACCTCCTCAGGATTACCAGGTACGAACTGAATGACGTCGCGCGGCAAGCCAGCCTCCAGCAAGATGTTATAGACCAGCCAGTTTGAGAGAATAGCCGAGTCGCTGGGCTTCCAGACAACGACGTTGCCGAGCAGAGCTGGGGCTCCAGGCAGGTTACCAGCAATTGCAGTGAAGTTGAATGGGCTCACAGCGTACACGAAGCCCTCAAGAGCCCTGTACTCAACCCTGTTCCAAACACCAGGAGAGTTGTGTGAGGGCTGCTGAGCGTACAGCTCCTCGGCATACTGGACGTTGAAGCGCAAGAAGTCTGCCAGCTCTGCAGCAGCGTCGATCTCGGCCTGCCACGCGTTCTTGCCTTGGCCCACCATAGTTGTAGCCATGATATCGTAGCGGTATTTGCCCGAGATCAGGTCGGCGGCCTTGAGAAAGACGGCAGCTCGGTCGGCGAACGGCAGGGATTCCCACGCAGGCTTGGCGTTGAGGGCAGACGCGATGGCTTGGGAAACATGTTCCGGTGTTGCCTGGTGATACTTTGCGACGGTAGTAGCATGGTCGGCGGGGTTGAACTGTTCTCCGACAATGCCTGTCTTGATCTTGGGGGCTAGTCAGGACATCGTCACTCATTCGTAAACGGGCAATCAAGACCGACCTCTTTTCCTGCGACGACAACGGGAACCTCCAACGGCAATTTTGTGTTCAGTTGATCAATGGCAGCAGTCAAGCCTGCGCGTTCAGCCGAGCCCTTGGCATAGTGGTGCTGTGTGATTGTCAATCAACTACCCCTCACCACCCAGCTTCTTCCAAGCTTCGTTATTGGGACCTGTAACCCACGTTTGGCTCGTTGTTCACTTTGGGAACTTTGAAAGCAGCGAATGTCGCCGCTCTAGTGGTCGTTCTCGTCGCAGAGATGGCCAGGCGCGTTGATTGTCCAATAAGGGATGCAGCGGAAGCTCTCCGTCCAATAGATGCAATGCGTGAAGCACTCCGCAGCTGGGAGTTCAACAGCCCAGAAGCTCGGGTGGAGGACATGGTGGACAGATATGCAAAATAACGCCGTCTACAAAGATCAAGTGGCCAAAAGCTGGGCCTCTTCGGACGCGCACAAATCAATTGATAAGTCTGGCAAAGACCGTCTGTCGGCGATTGGGAGAGAACAGTAAGGAGGAGGGGGAGGTAGCTTGGAGGAGAGGGAAAGCGGAAACCAGTTGGTTATTAAGCTTCGGCACATCGGAGGCGCAACGTAATGAAAAGTCGTGAGTCGTGAGACATGCACCGTCGTTCCTAGATGCCGGCAACCATCAGGGCGCAACACACGGGTTGATGCGGGTTAAGAATGCGCGGGCAACGAGAAAGCTCATGAGGGGCTGCGGGGCTTGCCTGAGTTCAGAGGGACCTGGAATGTCATCCCGAATGCAATGACGTGGGGTCTTGCTGCGATCCCCTGCCGATAACAGTGGGTTTAGATGCTTATCACGGTTTGCGGGGTAGTTGCCCGCCAATCAGATACTCCAATTGTGCTGCAATCTGAAGCTCCAGCCAAGATAAGAGGTTGACTAGGCGATAAGGGAAGGCCTTTTGGGGAGCTTCCGATCCCGACACTGTAAAAGTCGGAACGACCCTCCGACCCGACGTCGGGACAGGCTTGGGGACGTTTTATCGAGAAATTAGGTTCAATCTCTACTGTTTTCAAGGGATGATATGCTTTTTTTATTAAAAAAAAAACAAAAAAAAACAGTAGGTATCTTATTTTCAGTCCTTACACTATTAATTTATGGCGCAACAGAAAAATCCAAACAAGAAAATGGACAAACGAAGCGAAGCCCGACCAAGTCCGGGCTGTGAAGATGCACCCGCATCTCTTATCTTTCCGCCGTCTGCCGCCGTTGCGAACATGGCCTCCTCCTCTTCAAGGGTATATCATTATGTAACCATCCATCTTCGGATAGAGCGTCCGATCATGCTAGCGACCACGCCCAGCGTGCTTATTCCCCGTCACCGTTGGGTCGCTCTTGTCCAGGGAATGGCATCACAGGCTCCGGCTTGAGGTTGTACTTGAGCAAGGGCACAGTCAGGCCGTAGCCTTCCGTAATGCCCTCGGGATCGTGCTGATTGACCTCGACCCGGATGCAGATATCCAGACTACCGTCGTTGCCAGTACCATGTTGCGCCGTAGCCGCCTTGTGCTTGGAGCCAGACTCGATCTCACCGAGATGCAGGTAATCGTGCCCGCCCTTGCCCGAGATCGTCGACCTTGCATCTCCATTGATTGACGGTGCTGCGAGCCCGCGGTTGGGCGAGTTCTCCGTCAAAATGGCAAAGTTACGGCTGGGCATGGTCACATGGTTGGAGCTTGACGTCTTGCTCGAGTCGCCCGGGTCCTTATCGAAGAACTTGAGAAGCGTCTCGTCTGTGTCGTGGTTCAAGTGGTGAATCTTGTTTCGTCTCGCCAGCAGGTTGGCGATCGCAGCTGGCGGTGGCTTGTTGGTGATGGCAGATGATACCACGTTGGCCATGTATCGGTGGTCGTTCTCGGTTGCAATGTTCAGACGGGGGTGGGAGTAGAAGCGGCCAAGTGCGGCGAGATGCACGTCGCCGCCGAGAATGGTGATGCGAACCGAGAATTCCGATGCAATAGCCTGCAGTCTTTCGACCAAAGCTCCGCGCTCCTTCTTGTGCGTTCTGGCCGTGTAGTGGTCATCGAGATCATCAAGCAAGTCGACGCTGCCATCGAAATGGTTGAAAACACCGCCAGCTATCTTGGTCAGCAAAGACAAGCGGCCGGAAGTTCTGATTGCACATACCCAGACCGAATCTTCGGTTCAAGAACTTGACTGGGCCCATGATAGGGCTTCTGAAGACGTTCTCCAGCCACGTGAGGCGCTAGCACCGGTCAGCTCGTTCACCCACACGCTAAAGAAGTCAAGCCAGTTTCTTACCGGATACGCAATCGGGATTCCCAACAACAATATCAAATGCTTCAAAGGGCGTCCTGATTCAGCCGCAGTCCTCAACTCATGTCTGAGGCGGCTGAAGATCAAGTCATATGTCTCGGGGTAGTTGATTTGATGTCTCGTACGCTACACTCGGTCAGCCAGAACAACCTTCTTGTCGGTGTCTTAGACAGCCCTTACCTCAGTTCGAGCGTCAATACCCAGGAAGGCGATACGCGCTCCCAGTCGGGCAAACATGTTGTGCGAATGCTCCGCTACGTACGGCTATAACACGTCAGTACTTGAGAGAATGGTATCAACTCAAGATATGCTTACGCCAGGCTGTGTTCCAACAATGTAGCTCGGGTCAGACTTTGCGGGTGCTACATAGGTGTCCATGAGTTGGTTGGGGTCGAGTCCCTGCCCTTCGGTGGTGGTCGTGCGATCTGTGCTCCTGTAAGTCCAACAGTCACGTTTCTCTCATGCAATGGCTACTCACCTGATGTATAAGTCGATACCGGGGGAGGCAAATGGTGCTGGAATAGCATATAGTACTTGTGAGCAGTTCCGCCAATGCCCCTGAAGACGTCGCATCGCATGAAATCGTCGACATAGGAACCGAATCCGTCGATAATCTGTTGCCGATTAGCAGAGCTTCTCCTTACATGCGGATTTCAACGTACGTCGTGGTCGTCCCAGATATTGACCTGGGGAATCTGGCCGTTGGCCGTGGCGAAGGGCTCAGTAGAGTACCTTGACTCAGTCAGAACTGCACCTGCGTTCAGAAACTGCCTCACACTCACCATCGAATGTAGTTCTTCAAGTAGTAGTCATCGCAAGCTTGGCGGAGCTTCTCCGGGAAGGGAAAATGCCTGCGCTTCTTGGGGTTCGAGATATCGGTCCACTCGCGCAAAGGACCGTCGACTCGGATTCCGTCATTGTAGATCTGATCGCCACCCCCAAGCCTAGACACAAGTCAGCAACACAGAAGGCAGTGATCCGAAACACTGGACGCACATGACATGGAACGGGCGTTCCTTGTGATGTCTGTTGACATCGTTCCACAGGGCGGGACCGCTCCAAGCATCCTCGTCGGTGCCAACACTGAAGCCGTTGCAAGAGTGGAACATGATGCGCATCGACTCGTTGACGGCGGGGACAAAGAAATGGTAGCGGTCTGGGCGGATACTGGAGAAGCGCATGTCGGGTATCAGGTACTCCCACTTGGCCTCGGCCTGGGAAAGAGGAAGCGACAAGTCAAACGCCCAAAAGGTGTTGCGCGGGTCTGAGTAGAGGCATTGGCCCTGAATTTCTGTGCTGTTCGCGCCTGCGCCGTTTGCGCCATTGGAGCCTTCACCATTAACGGTACCATTCGTTCCGTTAACGCCATTCACCTCAGGAATAGCATGCTGGGTGTCGGCAGAGCCTGCGGGACGCAAAATGAGGTGCGGCGCAAAGCTCTGCGTCTTTCCTCCGCCCTTAGCGACGATCAAGACGCTTCCATACCAGCGATCCGCGTCCATTCTGCGGTAGTTGAGCAGGGGACCGCAAATGATCTCCTTGCCATCGGGAGCGTCTGGCTGCTCGTAGGAGTGGGCGGTGGTCGCGCGAGGCTGCTCGTCGCCGGTGGCCTCGCCGGCAGCAATCATGATGGGCTTGAAGTTTGGTGCGGCGTTGGGGTTCTCGGGCTCGACGCGGTCGCGGTTCAGGAAGCTGGCAAGATCGTTTGTGGTTCCGCGGTCCTGAGGGTCGCGGGGCACTGCGTGGGCCTGGGCGGCATGGCGCGCAAAGGCAGAGCTCTCTTGGTGGCGCCATCTGTTGGCGGACGCGTGAGGGTTGTGGCCAACGTCATCGAGGGCCTCCCCTTGGGAGTGGTGAGACGACATGATGGCGATTTGCTATTTTCACGCCAGATTTCGTAGATTTCGGCTTCGATTCTGAATAACCAGCTGTTAGAATATGCGAAGCCCATGAGAACAGCTCTGAGCAACTGTGGCTCCTTACAATGTCTCGGCGCAAATTAGCCTGCCAGGGTCTGCTTGCGCGCCTGTGAGCTCTCGAGAGCTGGTCAGCAGGGGTTTGTTGTTTGCGATTGCGCGGCAACGAGGATATCAACAGTCGGGTATCTGGTACTACGGGAGGGACTGAGGCAAAGCGAGGAAGGGGGAAAAATGGGAACAGAGGGAAAAGAAAAACAGCTGGCGACGAGAGGGTGTTGCCAAATCCCACACCATAAATCGCACGAGAAAAGTGTGTTGTGTTGGATTGGATGCTTGTTTGGCCGGGTAGTGCAAAGTGACGCGGGCTAGGAATGAAGTGGCAGGGATTGGCGTCAGTGGGCACCTCCGCTACGCAACCACTGCGAGCAACGCCGCTAGAAGCTGCCTGTCGAGCTGCACGGTGGACCAGGGGCTTTCTAGGGGTGAACCTGGGACGGACCTGACCCGAGCGTGTCCGTGGAGTTCACGGGGGCAGAGGTGCTGCGGCGCTGACGCTGAAGATGATGGCAATCGCCGTTTGAGATGTGCAATATTCTTCTTGCTGGGGTGCTCTCTTGTCGCAAGTTTAGGATCAGACTTACGGAGGTAGCAGCAACCCCCGATGTTGGCCCGTTTGTCGTTTGGGGGCCAAACGACGATAACAAAATGGGCAGAACAGAATCCATGATCGCCGTATCTTTCTCTCGCTCCCTTTGCCTCCCTTGCACCGGTCTACAATCTACAGTCTACACCGTCTGTCTAGCTTGGCTGGCGCTGCTAGTACTGCCAGGCGAACCGGACATTCAACCCACCTCAGTCCGTCATCCTTGTTGGGGGGCTCGCAGCAAATCCAATCCAGTCCAACGCCGTCCAGCTGACCATGCAGTTGAGCCGTGTAAGAACCGGGTCCGAGTCTCCCTCTTACATCCCAGCGGCTCCTATTCGTGCAAGCATCCGAGTCTAATCCACGCATCCATCCGTCTCGATACGCCTTTTACGAATGCCATACTTGGGGGCTCAACAGTTGCTGATGCGTGGTAGGCAGCATCCTCCCGTCTCTTACATTACAATTGGCTGGTCATCGACAACGTGCTGGCGTTCCACCCATCGTCACCCGTCTCTGTGCCAAGTTTGCCGGTACTCGTCGGCGCCCTCTTTCGCCAATTTCTTTTTGGCTGGCGTCTTGGAGATGGGATGACGAGTGGCCAGAGCTCCCGCCAGCTTGCTTTTGGCAAACACACCGTTCCATGCTTGCAGGCGGTTCCCGGGCAGCGCACCACTCGGAGACCGCACAATGTAACCCTGCTACTGCGTAGTTTACATCGTACGAAGCCACGAAAGCCTCCTGCAAGGTAAAGCAGACAACAGAACATTTTGTCACTCCAGAGCTGAAAAGGCGAGACTGTGGCCCTTTAACCATAGTCACAGGAGGCCTGCGGAGGTACGGGAACAACAGTTCAAATGCGTTGAAGCCCACAGCTGCCGCGGCAAGCTGCTGATTGCTCGAATGGGCATCCGTAAATTGTCGATACGCGCTGCGATGCCTGCCAGATGTGGTCTGGTCGGGGGTGAAATTGGTCAACTACGTCAGGACTTGTGGCTCTTGGAAATGAAACAGGAATGCCCCCACAAGGCCAAGGCTTAAGGTACCTTAAATGACCCGCCGAGGATCCACCCTTGTTGCCCATCACCCTGGTCACCCGCTGTGACTGTTGAGCTTTCGCCCCCCGGCCCCGGCCCTGCCACATCCCGTATGTGAAATCGTATCGCGCGGCTGCCGGCGCGTCACTTGGCGTCCCGGTCTTCTTCTCCGGGCGCATCCACTCAGCGCCGGGTCCATCCCGCCTACCGCCGATTTTGTCGTGTCAAGCCATTTCTTCGATTCGGAGCACCGTGCCTGAGCCGAATGATACCCCTCGGGAAAATCGCCAGTACTTGACAATTGCATTCGGCCGACAATCGTGGGCGTGGATTGACAGGACGGAAGATCGCCATACGGGCGTCAACGATAGCACGCATCACAATTAGATGAGGAGGGTCTGGAGCCGGGATTAATGACACCAATCGAAAGGGTGATGGAACTGAGATGAAGTTGACCTATATCTTGGAGCGTCTTCATTCCGAAGCTCGAGTCACGGCTGTCATTGGCATTTGGTAGCTGTCTGCTCACTGTTCCCCAAGTACGTGCGTCCTAGTTGTGTTTAAATACCTTGTCATCGAATCCTCGGAGGGAAAAGTCACCACTAGGTGCACATCAAGGGACTACAATCTCGACCCTCATTCTGCCTGAAATACCTAGGTAAGAAGAGGGCCGTATTTGAGTCGGGCGATCGCGACAGCTCGAAACATCTACAAAGGCCTGGAGCAGGCGTGACCACATCTGCTGCAAAGCCCGTGAATTTGCAGCATTCCGCATCAGATTCCAGGCTGCAGCGGCCTCTGGGTGCGCTTCGTGAGGCTCGAGCTGGCGAGAATTCTGGGGTTGAGTCAATCAGGACCGTGCTGGGCAGGCAACAGCGGGCTTTAGCGGCTCTCGGCAGCGGCACATCAGCGGGGTCCCCTGCAGGTCACTGGACTTCGTGTCAAAAGCTCCCCACGATCCAGGCAGCATACCCCCCTGTCTCGCGTCTTCCTTTCTCTTTTCCCTGACCGCCGCGTCTCGTGCCTGGCGTGGCAAGCATGTTGGCCAGTGTACTGGCGACAGCTTCATGGCAAATGCGAATGCAGCCCGGCAAACAGACCTGTCACGGGCTAGCGTTGTGGCGCCAAAGCCATTGGAGGAGCTGAGGTGCTCCCTATGCTGCGGCGTTTGCAATGCAAGGTACCTTCGAGGAGGGCATCCGTCAGCTTATTGATGGTGTTTTACCCCAAAGAGCTAACATACCTACCAACGAGTAGACCTCCGTTTGTCAATACGTACCTGCCCAAATCGTGTCGTTGAGCTAGACTCTGCCTAAACGATCCTTTATTCAAGTCCCCTCTTTTTGACAACCAACGGTGAAGTCTCGATGTGAATAAGCGAGGTGTAAACCAGTATAAAATAACTTCATTGTTTCCTTCATCACTGACCAAATCCCTTCCGATTCACCTCAGCTGCATTCCATCTATCCTCCAGCCCGCTTGTCAACTGTTTCAAACTATATTGTCACTTCGAGGCTCAATTGCTCTTTCCTCTCCACCCCGTTCACTAGCAGTCAGTCACCTTCTCTACACCACCTTAGTTATTCAGGTAGGCTGCTCAACTCATTTACGCGGGAAGTCAAACCCATTGCCCCCGTCACCATGTCTCTCCCTCACCTTCAGGAGTTACCAGCTCCTCATGTGGAGCTGGTGAATTATATCCACGACCACCCGGAAAAGACGATGATTGACATCATGGAACCCTATCGCAAGTATGAGGGTCAGCTTCGTTCTGTCTTCGCCCAGGACCGCAAGAACCCGGCTCTTGACGACCCTCACATCAATCTTGTGCCATTGTTCAACGAAAACACCAAGAACATCAAGGTTCGAGCGCGTTCTCTGGACTCTGAAACTCAAGAGGAGAAGGACCGCTACATAATGGCCCTTCCAGATGATAAGCGACGACTCAATGGCTCTCCTGCCGTGGTCTCGTCCCTCAAGGAGTTCCAGAAGAACTTCAACGTGTTCTCCGAATCCTCCCTCGTCGATATGAATTGGGATAACGTCGTTGCCGCTGGATCCTCCGTCATCAACACCCTTCTGCCGGTCCCCGCTGAGTTCAACACTTCCAAGCGCAAACTTCGGGAATACTACCACGAGAAGTTCTGTCCGGCATCTGACGTTGATCTCTTCCTCTACGGACTGACCCACGACGAAGCCATTGAGAAGATCAAGGAGATTGAGACTGCGGTTCGAGACGCCATTTTGACTGAGGTCACTGTCGTTCGCACCAAATATGCCATCACGATTGCCTCTCAATACCCCACTCGACACATACAGGTAGGCATCAAGCGAGTATGATCAAGCAAACTTGACTAACAAACCACTCAGATTGTCTTGCGCGTGTATAAATCCATTGGAGAGGTATGTGGCATAATTTCACTTTTCTATCACAACCTAGCCAATGCAGGCCAGACGACGGCAAATAAACAGCTAACGACGTCAAGATTCTCACTGGTTTCGATATCGACGCGGCCGGTGGAGCCTACAACGGAAAGCAAGTTTGGGTGACTCCGCGAGCTTTGGGCAGTTTCATCACTCAGATCAACCACATCGACCTCACTCGTCGAAGCCCTTCCTATGAAAACCGTCTGTCCAAGTACAGTCATCGCAACTTCGAAGTCTACTGGCCTGATCTCGATCGCAGCCGCATCGATCCAACCATTTTCGAGCGTAGTTTTCAGAGAACCCTCGGCCTGGCTCGTCTGTTGGTCCTGGAACGACTCCCCACATCATCCGTTCGTGACGAATACCTCAACAAACGGAGGCAGGAGAGAGGTCGTCCAGCAGCAAATCGCTACAACCCCCACCAGCTATTTGGCAACATCAAAGACAGCCACGAGGATGAAGTTGCAGACTGGGTTGATGAGACCGACGTGTCCAACTACCATACATTCACAGTTCCCTACGGCCAGCAGTATGTTGAAAAACAAACGCAGATGCAGTGACTCCTGCTGACTAGTGCAGTTTCCATGCGAAGAAGATTGAGAAGCTTTGTTACACTCGAGATTTGCGTAAGCTTTTCCAGCCTTATGCATACATCATTCCCCGACTGACTTAATTCCTAGTCCTCAACGCCGAGTGGAACCAACCCAAGGAGAGGGAAGTCCACCTTCACCGACATCCTGCCTTCTTTGGTCGCGTTGAGGATGTCATCGAAGATTGCTGTGGCTCCTGTCCCAAACCATCAACCCCGGAGGAGGTAGAGGCGGCCGAGAAGGAGGCTGAGATTTACATCTCTGGCAAGGTCTCATTCCTGATCGTAAGTGCTGAGCCATTTCCTCGGTCAATCGACTTAGGGGGTTTATCATTGTGCATAACAAGTTGACTAACATGTCGGCAATAGGACGATCCCGGACGACAGCAAATCGGTTCCTTCAACCCTCTCAACGAGGATGACTGGACAGACATGGCCTACGTCGGAAACACAGCGCGTCTCTCCCAGAGTATTGTGGACGGCGATATCAACGAAGTTTTGGACTGGTTATCCCAGGAAGGGGCCGACCCAAACAAGAGGTCACACACTGGGTTTGCAGCATTGCATCTGGCTGTGATGGGCTCGACGCCTGATATTGTTCGTTGTCTTGTCGAGCACGGAGCTAGGTTGACTGCTCGTCTCGCTGATGGCCGGACCGCTCTCCACCTTGCTGCCGAGCGAGGCAATGTAGACATGATCAAGATTCTCATGGAGAAGAGCATTGCGAACGAGGAAGAAGAGGACGAGAAACAGGATCGCCGCCGCAAAGACATGCGTAATAAGTTGCAAGATGGCTCCTCCCGGAGCGTCCCCGAAGATGACGCGTCAATGAAGGGGAGCACCAACAACGAGGGCGATGACGAGGACTCTGACATTGACATGGTCGATGCCGGCAACACCGAAGCTGATTCTATGGCTACAGGATCCTTCGTCAAGGTCAAAGATGAAGACAAGAGCAAGGAAGATCTCGTGCTGGAGGAATCCACCGACGAGCCCGACTTTTACAAGATTGACGTCTTGGCTTGGGATATCCCCTGCTCCCCCCTTCACCTAGCAATTTCGGAAGGACACGAAGAGGCCGTCAAGGCCCTCTGTGAGTTCGGAAGCGACGCTCTTCTCCCAGTCAAATTCCTCGACTCTGAGAAGCAACCCACAGCCGCAATTCTTACCCTTGCGCTTGCCCTATCGCTACCTGTCGAGAAGGCTAAGTCTATGGCTCTCTTGTTATTGAAGCTGGGCGCTACTTCATCTCAAGCGGATCTCAACGGGTGCACCGCCTTCCACCGCTACGTTGAAAACGGTAGCCAGGAGATGATTGATGCGCTGTGGGAGCATGATAAGGCCGGTCTGAAGACTGCTCTAAACCACATGGTGTTCGGCAGCCGCTACTGGGACCCCCAGGCAATTGCTCCTCTTCATACAGCCATCGAGAATGGAGACTCAATCTTGGTGCTCAAGCTACTCGAAGCTGGCGCTAATCCTCAGATCGACTTCGACACCTGGCTGAAGGCAGTCAAATTCTCCAAGGCATCCAACCGACTAAGTACCTATGAGGAAAACAAGAAGCTGTTCCAGCGGTCAGTGACACAGCCCCTGATCGTTGCCATCAGGGGATGTTCCGACCCGGAAATAGCCCTCAAACTCCTCGAGAACGGCGCAGACCCCAACACTTTGACCAACGAATCACACCAGGTCATCTCGGACGAATGGCAACGACGATACAATAAGGGCCAGTCTATTCTGGATCTCGTGCGAAACCAGCTGAAGCACCTGCGCGAGTACAAGGGCGAGAAGACGTCTCTCAAGAAGCCTTCTTTACCCGGCGGCATCGAGGGCTTCCTCCGAACGTACGAAGAGGGGACTTACCAGCATTGGATGTTCTCTCAGAACATTGAATACCACAAGGCAAGCTATGAAAGAAACCTCGAACGGTACGAAGAAGAGAAGAAGAAGTACGCAGAGATTAAGGGTGCGTCTGAGAAGATGGAAGCCATTAAGGACGTCATCGCAACGCTCGAGAAGGTGGAGAAGACCATCATTGACAAGGGCGGCAAGACGTTCGAGGAGCTGTACCCCGATATCAAAGCTCCCGAAGACAACTCGAGCAATCGTGCTTCTTCGCCTGAGGAGAGACTCAACCTATACGACTACAACATTTCTTTCAGCGGCGTGACTGACGTCACTGAAACGAGGAGGGCTGCCTACCTGGAGATGTAAGTCACCGAATCAAGAGCGTCACGTAATGAAGCTAACAAAGTTGCAGGTTTGAGGCTGCATGGGCCGGAAATGTGGACAAGATCAAGAGTCTTACTTTGCAAGCTTGGGGCAAGGATCAAGATGAGCCACCGCTGAAAATCTCTGTCAACGACGATAGACAGAACACGCCTTTTTCATTGGCGTTTCTTCGCGGTCATCACGACGTAGCATCGGCAATCTTGGAGATTGTCATGGCTCAGTACGCCCCAGAGGATGAGGAGGCAACCCGGTACAAGCTGGACAACGGCAATTGCGACGACGAGGACGAGGAGTCCTACGAAAGCGACGCAGATTCCAGTGACGAACCCAAGATCATTTCAGAGATCGTCGATAAGAAGTTCACGATTGAGAACATTGGTCAGGTGTCGATGCAAGTCAAGTCGACTGTCAAGCCCATCGAGTTCTTGACTGAAAGCGTGGAAACCTTTGCGATGGCGAACGGCAAGCCGTGGAACACTTGTAGACAATCCCTGTTCATGTTTGTCGTGCAACAAGACGACCAAGCCGGATTGAAGGTACTCCTCGACATGGCCACCCACTTCGCTGGCCAGAAGCTCATCGACGGCCGACGCGGCGAGGAAGAAGAGGATGTCGGAGGGCGCTTCTCTTTCCCGGAAGATGCCTTCCTTCGGGCTGTCCAAGAAGGCAGAACCACAGTTTTGGCCGAGATCATCAGCCGAACCGGCGCGGGCATCCCGCTGGACGACCTTGTCAAGAAGAGTGGCATCGAGATGAAGAGGAAGCCGAGATATTATCAGGGATTGACGGTCTACGGAAAGAAGAGGTAAGTAGCTATCATTGTGATGATCGCGGCTGTACTGACAACATTACAGGAAGGACTGGGCAACAGCAGGGCGCAACATGGTTGTCAGGTCGACCGGGATGAAGACGCCGCCCCTCCTCCATGCTGCCCTCAATGGCAACATTGCCAGTGTGGAATGGTTCCTCAGCGATGCCCCGCATCGCCATTACACCGACTTTGGAAAGTCCAAGATAGCCCGGGAAGATCCCAGGCTGAAGCACCTCAGCCAGTCGCCGGGAGGGTTCGACCGCGCCATTTCAAAGTGGCTAGGCATTCAGAGTAAGTACGCCGCAATTCGTTCCATGGTACACTCCTTGCTGATATGGCCATCCAGATGAGCTCGTCTTGCACTGCGCCGTGATGGGACCGTCGAACGAGGCCACCGATAGGACGGTCAAGTACCTCATCCAGGCGTGTCCCAACTCCTTGGAGTACAAGTCGACCTCTGGTGAAACGCCCCTCTGGCTCGCCTTCTTCTTTGGCAAACTCGAGATCGCCAAGATGCTCATCAAGGCTGGCGCGAACCAGATGATCCGTAACAACGCGGGTGACAACATCATCCATGCTGCCTTGGACTGCTCTCCCAAGGCCTGCAGGCTCCGTCCCATGCTGGAAGTCGTCGACTCGAGCATCGTCACCCATTTGTTCCAGCAGCGCAACAACCTTCACGAAAGCGGCACAACCCCTCTGCACTCGTGGATCAGCAGTGCCTGTCGAGGATACCATTACACCTACAGGAAGTCGTACGACAATGACGACCAGATCCTCGAGGTTCTCGGCTTGATTCTGGAGTACTCCAAGGGCTCCGAGCTGGAGGTGCTCTCAGGTTCCGGCGACACTCCTCTGCACACGGCCGTCATGTCCCGGAACAAGCTCCTCACCAAAGCTCTGCTCGAATACAAGCCCAAGCTGTTGTACCGCGAGAACGCCGTCGGCCGCACCCCCGCAGAGATCGCCCGCGAGGAAGTGACCGGCGAGAAACTCACCGCGCCGGACACCATCTCCTTCAACTTCAAGAACTACAACAACGACAAGGAACCGCGCGCGCTGGTCAACCGCAATGCCGACACCTTTGTCGATTACAAGAACCGCAGTGCCAGGACAACCACGTCCTTGACGGACAAGCAACGGGTCTGGGAGATTGTCCGCTCTGTCCTCGAGCAGTACCCCGGCAAGCGCCGTCTAGTCTCCCTCAACGAAGCAAACGACGTCGCCAAGCGTCTGGGGGAGAAGTACAACAGCACTCGCTACTTCAACATCCGGGCGCGTAACGACGAGTATGCCGACGCCGAAGAGAACGAAGCCAAGGAGGAGAACAAGGAGGAATTTGCGGCTCACTCTCGGCAGGCAAGAAGTACTCAGGCTTGGTGCTTCCCCGAAGACGATGCACAGCCCAAGTGTGCGGGCTGCGGGGAGAAACACGCCTGACGCCAGGACGTTTGTCAATGTCGAGTGCCGCCGAGGAAGAAGCTAAGACAGAAACTGAGACAAAGACAGACGGCTCGATGATTTGTATGATTGAATTGTTTGTTCATTTGCACGCCCCATGTGGAAGGATGGACGTTAATTATCACGGGTCTTCGTGGCCTTTGCTCCAGATAGCTACCAGATTGAAAATCTCGTTACCCTCATCTCCCTCGCTCTCATCGTTCCAGCGCGAATTGTATTGGCTAAATCGGGTCAAGGAGAGGATTACGAAAACGGTGGCCTTTGTCTAAACCTCTGCGATGCTAATTCAAGAGATCGTAGAAATTCATGATTGTGGTCACCTGCGGTAGATATCATTGGATCAGTTACTATTAGATTCACGCAGAGATGGATATGGAAATGACTTTTCCCAACGCCTCTCCAGCTCTGCCAAGCACGTCCACAGAGCTATCCTGTGACACTCGCTCAAACTCCCTGGGTATCTCGAACAAAATCCACTGCTCGTCACCGGCAACCGTGGCCCTAGTCTCACCATCTGCACGTTTCACGTTAGTGGTAGACGGGCATTAGAGGAAGGCCCTCATCTTATGTAGACCTCGATCGTCTCCATGTCGCCAATGTCAGCATCCGCGACGGTAACATCCTCTTCAAGCTCATCACCATCGAACATGAGCGTGATGGGAGCATCGGGCGCCAAACCACGCATCTTGCGAAACAGTTCCATAATCGTTCCGATCTTGGTGGATGGTCGCACCGATGTCTTGAGGGGCTCGTCCGTCTTGGTCTTGAGGAGAACCTTGATCTTCTGCTCCTCGGGCTCGGCCTCTACGACCTCGTCACCCCCGTCTCCGCCTTCATCGTCGGAGTACTCCCCGCGGTCATGCCTGCGTTGCCTCGCCACTTGCCTCTCATGTTCCTCCCACAGCGCCGGTGTCCACATCTCCATGTGCACCTTTGTCCAGTCGTCCTTGAAACCGTCTTGCCCACCAGCTGTCTTGCGGTACTCGCCTTGTAGATCGAGACTATAGAGAGTTGTTAAATCGTAGAGCCTGTGCCCGCGCCAGGTGAGGAAAACCTCATTTATCTCTGACTGAGGAAGGTCCAGTCGTCCGCTGTGCACGTCTATCCATGCATTGCGGAGAACCTTGATCGGTTTGGACAGGGTGAACTTGAACTGCTTGCTGACGACGCCGGGTATGTCAGAGGTGACGAAGATGACCACTACCTGTTTCGCGTCCTCGCTCTGTTCCCTCGCCAGCCTCTCTTGAGCTTCTTTCCGCTGCTTTGCCGCTCGAATATACTCCGCCATCTCATCGTCGTCGTCTTCCGTGGCAGCGGGATTCTTTTCTTCGAATGGATCATCGTCGTCGTCATCTATCACCAAAGGAGAGGGATCACGGTCCTCAGGAACGCTTTTGCGGATGGGAGACGCATCGTATATGTCATCCTCGTCGTCGTCGCTATCGTCGATCGAAATGACAGGCTTCGATGGCAAAGGTTCCTGTTTGCGCGGCGTTCGGGAAGCAGCGGCGCGTGTCATTCGCTTGGATGGTGTCTCGGTGCCAGCTCGTTTGGAAGGCGACGGCTTTATTCTCGACTCTGGGGACTCGTCGCTTGTACGGGAACGTTTTGACGGCGGTGTGTCTGGGCCTCTGCTACGGTGGACAGATCAGCATCATGGAGGGGTGGCGCGAGGCTTGAGAGGGATGGTGGTACCTGAGATCCTCATGCTGGTGGTTGGTTTCGTGGAACGGATCTTCGCTTGCTCGTCTTGGTGAAGAGCCCCTTTTCGCGGGAGAAGGGGCTTGCGAGCTCTTTTCCCGCTCAGCCTGTTTGCGCTTGCGCTGTCGTTCCTGCTCCAGTCGCTCTTGCTCGAAGAGGCTGGCGCCACGGTTGAAGAGGCTAATCCCATCATCGTTGTCCTCGTCGTCGCTATTATTGACCACTGGTTTCGGTACAGCTTTCTGGCGCAAAGCAGTCGGCTTGAAAGGCAAGCGCTTTTTCGGCTTCGCCGCGTCTGCCATCGTGGCGCGGCTGGTTTTCGATTTTGTTGGAGAAAAAAAAAAATGGTGATGCGATGCGATCAAAGTTGTGTTGCAGGGGCCAACGGGAGGGTCGATGAAAAGCCGACAGACAAAAAGATGCAGCAGCCAACGGCTGGGGTTTTTGGGAGGGCAGTTTTCGACAACGTAGAAAGAAACGGAAAGCTCGGGAGCTATGCCGGAAGAAAAGAGGCGGCAGGAGAGAGCATCACGGCCATGCGCCCCGAGAATGAATTGGAAGGCGCGCGCATTGTGTTGGGGGGCGGCGGTCGCTGCAGTGTGGTGTGGTGTGTTTCCTTGGTGAGAGCGCAAGAATTGATTGCTGGACCCCACCAGCAGTTGCCTGCTGCACGCTTCAGACCGTGGGGTGTGCGCTGCCCAGGTAGCCTTACAGTGCGAACCATCCTGGGACCTGGTATCTTTTGGAGCGACCAGTGCAGCGTGCCTCCCGCCAGCCCCGCTTTGGCCGTCAACCGCATCGGCGCCAGCTGTCCGCCAGCCAGCAATCTTCGAAACATCGTCAACGCATCCAGTGCCAGGATCCATCAGCCTCACTCACTCACTCACTCACCACTGTCGACTGCACCTTACACCCACCGATCGCATCCATCGACCTTACCTTATTCAGGAGCAGAGAGCCTCACAATGGAGAACGGAAACATCAGCCAGGGCGAGGGTAAGGACCCCTCCAGCTTCCTCAGCGACATCATCGGCAACCCCGTCACTGTGAAGCTCAACTCGGGCGTCGTCTACAAGGGTGAGTGATTGATTATGTTGAGGCTGGAAATACTCAGCATCTGCTTGTTTTGACTTGGTTTGGGGAGCTAACACGCCGGAAAGGTGAGCTGCAGTCTGTTGACGGCTACATGAACATCGCGCTGGAAAAGACTGAGGAGTACGTCAACGGCGTCAAGAGGCGGGCGTACGGCGACGCGTTTGTGAGAGGAAACAACGGTGAGTCAAAACTGTCCCAGCAATTTTGGGATTATCATACTGATGACTGTTGTACAGTCATGTACATCTCCGCGGACTCGTGAGGGAAAGGAGAATGAGAATTTGATAATGGCTACGCGGAGGGCTGAAGCTGGGCACTGCGTCTGCAGATGATACTCGTCGAAGACGCTCATCACACAAAAAGAAGAATCTATCAAGCATGAAATATACCCTCAGTTCCCAGCCTATCGGTTACCAATCACAACCTCGAAGTCCACGCGAAATATGTGACGCCATGCAGCGCAACCTCCCCCTTCTCATTCTTCTCGACCGTCTCTCCTGCCAGAATCTCATCAAACCTGTCCTTAAAACCCTTGGCTGCCGCGCCCTCCAGCACAGCAATCTGGCTCAGCGTACGGATACGGTTCCACACCGCCTCGGGCGTAAGCCAGACGGTGAAGGGCACCTTTTCCTCGCCGACAGGAACGCTGAAGAGGGGCATCTTCCGCCCACCCTCGAGCACAACGTCCTTGACGGCCTTGAGCGGGTTCGAGTCGAGCTGCCGGTCAAAGACGTCTTTCCAGACGAAGTCGCGGAAGCGGGGCTGGCCGTCGGTGCCAAGGCTAAAGACCAGCTCGTTGAGTGACTGCTCCCATGGCGTGCTGGCTTGCCAATGCTTTGGCTTGTTGTCTATCGCCATTGTCAGCTGGGGAAAACCTTTAATTCGTGAGCGGATATCGTAATGGAGAAGGTCTGACAGTCTTCAATATTCCAGATCAACCCCAGCACAGCTGTAGGTCTCAAGACGCGGTGGATCTCCTTGAGAGCATCCTCGTTTGCGAACCTGTCGGTGTCAGTATCTTGCCAGCGGCAACTTCTCAAGCTCCCTTACCAGTGAAAAGCCTGTTCATAACGTCATGTCAGCGGTGAATCATTTAAAGCCAAAGTGTCTCAGGTCGAGCCTGAGAGGGAACAGGAGACTGACCTGTCCAACAACACACGCATCGCCCCACTCCTCCTCCAATGGCACCTTGGCCGCAAACCCATCCCTCACCACCGTGCCCTTCAACGCCTTCCTCTCCAGCTCTGCGCGCATCTCCGCATGAGGCTCTACAGCCACGACATTGAAGCTCTCGTGCCTAGCGGCCAGAACCTCTGTCAATTTGCCCGTGCCCGCCGCCAGGTCGAGGACATTGGCATGTGCAAAGTCGGCAATCTTCAGATGCGAAAGGAACCGCTGCGTCGCCTCGGGCGGGTACGAGGGCCGGTACGCGTCATATGAAGCCGCGTCCGAGAAACCCTTGGTACCGGGGTGAAGTTCCGTGGGAGACATGTCGGTTTGTTCGCCTTTCTATATCTCCAAGAAAAATTCTAGATTCGAATGTTTAACGCTAAACAGTCGACAGTCTAGGCGATGGCCAGCATGTAATGACTCCAAAAGCCGAGATTCTATGTGCACAGACGGAATAGATAGATACTCTCGGAAGGGAAAAGTAGTCGCGGGAAAGCTCAGATGTCCACGTTGATATCCCTCAAGGCCAAGGATCCTTCATCGGCGGCGCACGTCATGTCCGTTGAGCCACTTATGCCAGCGTGGGGTGGGTAGGGAGGGAGGGGCAAAGCGAAGGAGGGGACCCATGGGAGGCGTGGAGTTGGGCATATCCGGCGGCCGGTGCCGAAATCGCGGAGGTTGCGCCGAAGAACGGAGCAAAGAGAAAGGCACCTCATGCAATGGTGGGAGCCGAAAATGCACTTGCCAGGTGCAAGGATACATACATGACGTTGCAGGCTTACTATTGGGCTTACTTTATGCCGCTTCATCCCCCAGCCTTGACACCACGATTTCTTCTCACAAGTCCAAGCAGTCAGCGCATCCGAGAGCGAAAACAGACTAATCGCAACGAAGAATCACTGAACCTGCACGGCAATTGTTCTTAATTTTTCTGTTTATTCTTTCTATGTGATTGACGTTGTTAAGGATAGTCGGTGCCCCTTTCATTTTAGAGGCCTGACGATGGATTTCATCGCATTTCCGATCGTCTGCTGTTCCCCTCCTTCCCTCGCTGTCTCTCCTGCTTGTAACCCCGTCCGCAGATATTTTTACAATCCTCAAACGCCTTTTGGGAGCCTCCTTTTTTGTTAGGCGCCAAGATTCCTTGTCCTTTCCATCTACCCTGCCCAGCATTGGCAGTTCTACTAATGATACATAGTTATTAGAATTCCAAGTTGAAGAAAAGAAAATGCCTCAAGACATTGAAAAAGTAACTCGCTGTGCCAACCAATGCTGTTCATCATATACTGTCCTCAGCCTGAATCTTCCTGAACAGCGTGGTGCTTTAGCTCCGGCTGCTGCTGCTGCTTCCACTGCTGCCGTCGCTGGGGTGGCGGCGATGGTCGTGATGGGCGGTAATGTACTCATCGGGCGCGAACGTAACGTGATGGCCATGTTGAGAAGGCAAAAGGGCGTGGTCGGCACCGGGAGTGGTGACCGGCGAGCGGCTTGGGCTCGCAAAGGGGTCGGAAAACTCGCCACCAGGGGAACCCTGGGGGACAGTAGAGTAACCCATCTTACCGTTGTTGGGGATTTGAAGGCTTCCGGAAAATGAACGAACGCCAGTGACCTTGGGCTGAGGAGGGCTGCCACCTCCGCGAGCGTTGTTCAGGTGGCGGTTGACAGGAGGTGGGCGAATAGGGACTCTGACGTCAACGCCATAGTCCCCGGAAATACGATCGGTTGGGCCATATTCGTCGTCGTGCATGGCCGCGGCTCCGGCTCCGCGAGGCTGGTATGTCTGGTATGTCACATTGGCACTGGGCTCACCCTCCAGACGTCTCAAAGCATCGGCTTGACTTGTGACGCGACCCTGAGAAGACATGGACTTGGGGCGATAGGTCTGGGGGCCGTAGTTGTTGCCGCCACGAGAAGACGACGCCGGAGAGTTGAAAGGATCGGAGTTCGTGGGAGAGGAAGGCGAGACGGGAGCTTGAGCGACGTACTTGCCCTTGCCTTTGGCCGAGTTCGGGGGAGAGTCGGTAGCGGGGGTGCCAGGACGAGAAATCCAGATGCCATCGACCTCGATACCAGACTGGATAGCTCGGACGCCGAAGGGGATGTCGGACTGCTTTCGCGGGGGAGGAAGACCGGTTGATGCCATCTCAGAGGCGTGAGCTCGCTTTTCGGCATCGATAATCTCAAGTTTCGCCATGTAACGATTCGTCCACCATAGCTTGACAAAGCCAATCGCGAAGACAACGGCGATGGCACATGCAAGGACCTAGCAGCAACCGTTAGATATGTTACAGATCATGAAGGACAACTCAGCTGGGAAACATACAAAGGTCATTTGCTGCCACAGCTCCCAATCCACGAAAAATCTTCCGCCCATCTTGATGGTGTTTTCTTATGACTGGATTCGGGATAGAATGGTGAGGGTGGTGATAATCGATGAGATACGCTCAGTGGCCGAGCAGGGGGCAGGGGGTGGTGATTGAGATCAGATGAAAAGTGGTGATGGTGAATGACCGGAGCGCTGCGCCGGTCTACTTGAGGCGATGAAAGAACTGAAGAAAAAGTCTTTTCGGACTGAGGTTGGTTGTTGTGACGTCCGCCTCTTCTGCTTTCGGCCAGACCCTTTTTCGAATGCGGCAGGTGGCACTTCGGATGAACGGTGTAAGTGGCACGCAGTTAGCCCAACCGGTGTTGCTGGTAGTGAATACAGCCGGGACAGGCACCGTGTCTTTCAAAGGAAGGACAGGAAATTAATCCCAACAGCTTAAACAATATTATGGCGGATTGTCGTGTTCGGCGGCTCGAGGCGATGATGTCGGAACAAGGTGACGAAGGGTTGGTATTCAAACCAGACCAAAACGACTACGACGTCGTTCAGTATTAGTCAAGACGAGCAGCACACAAAAGCAACCTCGTATTCAGAAGGCAACGGCAGATATTAAACCTTCGGCGGTGAAGAGGAAACAAAACCCATGTGGGAAGCAATGTCCAGGGTGTGAATGGTTGGAAGGGTGGCAGCAGGTTTTGTATGAAACAGGGTACACGGCTAGCAGCAGCAAACACAACTCATCACATCGCTTGCACCGTCTATGATGGGAGAACATACGCAAGGCCCAGACCTGAACCTCGAAAGCGCTGGACTGGGACTAGACTGACGGCAACCGTGGACCATCGTCCGTCTCGGGCAGAGTGTGTCGACAGTGGCTGGGCGACGTCTGTTGCCCAAGTGGAGATGGGAGGATTACTGAGGGTATGGAGGAAGAGACCACCGGCCGAGGACGTGCGAGGTTGAGCATGTACAACCATAAACGTCCACGTCCTCCTCCATCAAGGGGCACTGAAGGTCTGGTGTGGTGGCATCGAGGCCGCGGGCGATTCCTGAGCGCTGTTCTCGTACTCACGGTCCGCTGCAGAGAGGAAGTCTGGATCATCCCTGCTCCTCCATCTAGATCCCTTGTCGCGGATCGCGACAAGACACTATGCCCGTTTGCGTTGGGCCGATGGCGTCTTGAAGAGGCTCACATTCGGCCAACAGCACTGAGCCGGGTCGCCGCCATGTCGGAATGCTCTGATCTGGGTTGACAAGTTAGGCACGGCGAACGCTCGCTGAGTTGAGGTGCGAATGCGTAGTGTGACGCCACTGAAAGCTGCGGGGGGATTCGCCAGACTCTGGGAGAGAAGCATTCGCAGTGTGCCACGACGGAAAGAGGTCTCAAATGGCCGTTTGCGGAATGCAAGGTACGGGACGGGTAGCCTTAGCTGCTGATTTAGCGCCGAAGGAAGCGCGGCAGGCAAGCCACACCTGATTTCCAGACCGGGACCCACGAGAAACTGCTCGCTCCCACTCAGTATCTTGGCTTAGGGTGGGTGCTGTGTGTTTGTCATGCATGTTTGCGGCGAGAGTGAAGCCACCCTCTGCCACGTTCTCGTGATATTGAGTATTGTTCGCTGGCTGCCACGGCTCTGTGCGCTTTTGTCTTGACGTGAACGTGTTTGATTCTAGAGTTTCCGTGTCACTTTGCATTCCCAGGCCGCTGGAATTTTGGGGCCTGACATGCGACTCAACTGGCCACGCTTTCCGGCCGGCTGCTGGCG